CACGCTCTTAAGGAAACTGCATATCATCTCTCCATTTAATAGTTACAGCTTTCATACTTCCTTAATTTTGTTCTGAGACAAAACTACAACATATATTTGGCGATGATGATTTTCCATCCAACAACTCGTCCATAACATGTCTTAAAAGCAAGTCTTAAACGTGATGCTGGCAACCAATATACTGTGGGGGAGCAAGTGTCATTGCCTTGTAACGGTTCTTTAGCAAAGCAACAACTCTGTTTGTTTTGCCTGTGTCAACATTTTGTCAGAAATTATCATTTTAATTGATTTTCACAAATCATATGTGTTTAAAGTTTCCTTTACGCCATTAAATAATTTAAAGCTTTACCATTTTCCAGAAAAAAAACACATAACGAGAACGAAAAGTGATACTGAACATGGCCCAACGCCGAAACCGGTTTGCCTCCAAACCAAATTTGACAAGGGATGACGGAAGATCGTTCCACATTACATCACACTCCTACCCTGTCGGAAACACCAACAACGAAAATGAGAAGAACACATAACTTAACTTCCTTTGTTCCATTTTTCAATACGATTACCTGTATTTCTGTACCATCAATTTTCTTTTTGAATATGTTTTTATGTATACGACTTCTATTTATTCAACAGATTTTAGTACCGCTCTGTAAATACCTGTTTGTGATGGCGTTGAAATGTTATGCCTGACTTAGCTAATTGTTTTTACCAACAAGAACCAGATCGCAGTGAAGGTGAGCCTATCTCTCGGAGAAAACACACAAGAGCTAGTAATTTGATCAGCGTACCTCCCCGGTGACTCCAGAGATTTCAAGTTTCTGCCACTATAGGGACTAGTGGACTATTGTGGCAGACACAAACTGCAACTCATCGTGGAATATGACGCTAATGCCCACAATACCATATGCGGCAGCAGTAACATAAATCAAAGAGGTGAATACTTACTTGAATTTATTAGCCTTAATAGGTTAGAAATTCTAAACGTAGGTAACTCCCCCACTTTTGGGAACAGTATACGGGTATCCACTCCTTTTATCAGTAATTTCGTTAGAACATGGAAAGTGTCTAGAGAAGTTTCTTTATCAGATCATATGCACATCCGTTTTGAAATGGAAACCACATTACTGCTACTACCTTCAGAAGACCAAGAACCACAAACTGGGATCTATACGATGCACTTCTGCAGGACGGTCTGAAAAGGTGCAAGCGTAAGGTAAATGACTTAGTCGATCTTGAACTTAGCTACTCAGGTCGGACATCAGCCATTATGAATTCCTACCATAAACCCTGTCCAGAAGTCACTAGGCTTAACAACAGACAGACTCCATGGTGGAATAACAAGTTGGCTAAACTTAGGGCAAAAACCAGGAAGCTCTTTAACAGAGCTAAACGAACCGGTGAATGGGAAACATATAAAATTACCCTCACCGCGTACAATAAAGAGATTAGATAAGCAAAGGGGAACTCATGGACTATTTTCTGTATAGGGATCAAGGACCTTACGGGAAGCGCAAGAATCCGCAAAGTCCTCGCAAAGACGCACACTAATGAGTTGGGGCTCCTGAAAAGACCCGACGGATCCATCACGAACAGCTGCATGGAATCCCTTAACTTGCTAGCCGAGGTGCATTTTCCTGACTGTTTGCCGCTGAGCACAATCAGAACAATCCACACGTAGACTGGGATAAAACGCCCCTGCGCAGAGGATTGGAAAATCGCCAAAGGACCGTTCGACGAGGATAGAATAAGATGGGCTATATCTGCCTCAGCGCCTTTCAAAGCACCTGGAGCAGACGGCATTTTCCCAGCCCATCTTCAAAAGGGACTTCCCCGCTTGCTACCCTTCCTGATACCACTTTTCAGAGCATGTTTCGCGGGGGGTCCCTTCTACTACAATGGCAGGAAGTGACGGTCCGCTACATCCTAAAGGTGGGTGGGGAAAACCAGCGGACCAACAAAAGTCATACCGACCTATTAGTCTTACGTCCTTTCTACTAAAAACATTGGAAATAATCGTAGACAGGCATATCAGGGATAGTTTCCTTACCAGGAACCCGCTGCAGACACCAATATGCCTATCTTCCAAGATCTACTACACAGGTTTACAAAAAAAACAGCTTATGCATATTAAACCAAACCTATATATCCCTATTTAATTCGACACGCTGAATGCGAATCCGAAGTCCGTTAGTCTCCACTACGTAAGGTTCGTGGTCAGTTGAAGGTCAAGTAGGGAAAAATTCATTGAATAAACCTGAACATTCATGTACATAAGGTTTTACATTCGCTGAACCCGAATCCGAGGTCCGTTAACCTCCATAATGTCAGCTTCGAGGTCATTTGAAGGTCAAATAGGACATAAAATTTATTCAATAAAAATTCAAAAAAAAATTTTTTTTTGTTGTCAGTGAAACCGAGTATGGAGTTCCCTTGATTCCTCAAGGTCATCTGGAGATCATGCCAAGGTCATCCCAAGGTCAAATTCCGATGAATTGTATTGAACTTTCAGGTTTATTCAATGAATTTTTCCCTACTTGACCTTCAAATGACCACGAACCTGACGTGATGGAGGCTAACGGACCTCGGATTCGCATTCAGCATGTCGAATAACATAGGGACATATAGGTTTGGTTTAATATGCATACACTTTTTTTTTTGTAAACCTGTGCTATCCACGCTCTTCAGAATCTAACAAGGAAAATTGAAAAGTCCCTGGAGGACAAAGAGGTGGCGGTGGGTTGTTTCTTGGATGTGGAGGGCGCTTTCGACAACACGGAACACTCTAATAGACAATTGCGTCCGGCGCAGAGGGGTTGATCAAACCACATGCCGCTGGATAGCAAACGTCCTTAAATCCAGAACCATTACATCCACTCTAGGACAGGAAAGGGTCAGATTCTTAGCTACGAAAGGTTGCCCGCAGGGGGGAGAGATTTCCCTTCTGCTATGGTCCATCGTAGTAGATGAACTACTCTGCCTTCTTAGCGAAAACGGCTTCGACGTTCAGGGCTATGCGGATGACATTGTCATCCTAATCAGAGGTAGGTTCGAAGATACCATCTCCAACCTCCTACAGAATGCTCTGAGTATAGTTGCCAATTGGTGTAGTAACTATGGGTTAAACGTAAACCCGAAGAAGACTAGCATAATCATTTTCTCCAGGAAAAGGAAAAGAGACAAATTAGTAGAACCATTCCTTCAAGGTGAAAAGATACAATTCTCCAAAGAGGTCAAATATCTATCTCATGGAATCCGCATCTAGATAAAACTATTCAAAAGGCCAGGGCCTCTATCTGGACCTGCCGGAAACTTATGGGACGGAACTGGGGCATCAGACTTAAACTGGCGAGGTGGATGTATGATGCCATCTTCAAACCCATTCTCACCTATGCTGCACCCGTCTGGTGGAAGAAGGCGGAAGTGAAGTCCACACAGGCCAAGCTCAGCAAACTACAGAGACTGGCCTGCGTGGGCATCACTGGTGCGATGAGAACAACACCAACTGCGGCCTTCGAGGTGCTTCTTGACCTGCCTCGCCTACACATTGTAATCAAGAAAGAGGCTCTACCGTTTACAGCAAGGCTCATCTCAGGGGACAGTGTAGGGGACAAGAAGTATATATGAAGAACTCCTTCACCTCAGTAGGAATGAAGTAGGAATTGTTACAGGCTTTCCTACTGGTCACTGTAGGGTAATAAAACACTTGTCAAACATAGGAGATGTCAAATCCGACCAGTGTAGGTTGTGTAACGAAGAACAGGAAACAGCAGAGCACAGTATGTGCCACTGTGAAGCCCCTACCAGGACCAGACTTCGCTTCCTAGGATCACCGTACCTAGAAGCACACGACCTAAATGGCGTTCAGCCAAAGGACCTCGCGAGGTTTCTTATGATGATAGATGGTTTCGGTCGCCGTAACTAGATGACCTGCTCCCTCCTCTAAATCTAATATAATCTAATCTAATCTAGCCAATTGTTTGCAGATTTTATATGCTTTTGAAGTGCTCACATTTAAATTTGTAACCAATGATGCAGCTGGCGTTTTCGTCTGTCAAAGACTTTTCATCTTCATCTTCGAATATATCGTCTATTTCAAAGTTGTCATCTCGATCGTAATCGGATATTGGAACTGAACGCATTACATCTTCATCGCTACTTGTTTCGGACTGCCATTCTAAATTATTATTGGTTATATCAAAACTACTGTTGAGTTTGTAGTAAAAATTTTGCCCCAGACTTTGCAATTTTTCTTCACAGCTTTATTACTTTTTTTGTCTGACATTATAATGAATTTTTGTGATACAAACAATGAACGTATATTAATAACAATTATTGTAAACGGTAAAATATTTATGTGCTTCATAAGTTAAAAGTATTGTTATTATTTTCCGTAGATAGCTTTTAATACGCTTCGTGAGTCTCATTTGTTTAAAACTTCGGAGAAATATTTTAATTAAACTAAAAAAATATAGACCAAATTTCCNAAACGTATATTAATAACAAGAATTATTGTAAACGGTAAAATATTTATGTGCTTCTAAGTTAAAAGTATTGTTATTATTTTCCGTAGATAGCTTTTAATACGCTTCGTGAGTCTCATTTGTTTAAAACTTCGGAGAAATATTTTAATTAAACTAAAAAAATATAGACCAAATTTCCACTCGTTTGGTGCGGGAACTGTTTTGACAGCAGCGAGCAAGTAAGATTGCGTTTCGTAATATTTTTTTATGGACTTTTTGGCTAGGGCATGTAAAATTTGATATTTGCAAAAAAAATATCAAAAAGTAATAGCCCTAGTGTAGTGTACANTCGTGAGTCTCATTTGTTTAAAACTTCGGAGAAATATTTTAATTAAACTAAAAAAATATAGACCAAATTTCCACTCGTTTGGTGCGGGAACTGTTTTGACAGCAGCGAGCAAGTAAGATTGCGTTTCGTAATATTTTTTTATGGACTTTTTGGCTAGGGCATGTAAAATTCGATATTTGCAAAAAAAATATCAAAAAGTAATAGCCCTAGTGTAGTGTACATAGTCCTTTACATTCCAGACTTAAAAAAAAAAATTTAAAAAATATATCTCACTGAAAAAATATATATCCTCATGAAAATGATTATACATGAAGCTTTATGTCGCCTTACCCGGATGTTTTTTGTTTAACCGGCACCGATATATGTTTATTACCCGGGTACGCGGGTATCATCAGCCCTAGTTTATTAACAAATTCCAACAACAGAAAGCGGCCTTCCGATGGTAGGTATTAAATGCGCGTCTTATACCTGTTTAGCCGCGTTTTCCCCCCAAGTTTGTTTCACTTTCATTGATATAGAAAGCAAAACAGCAGCCGAAAAATTTAAATTTTTTAATTTAGATAAGTAAATTCTCTATTCGATACGCATATTAGCTTTATCTAACGCTTTCATGAATTTTTTAATTTTGCAACGTTTGTGCGGCAGAGGCGCTATAGCGTGACGTACACACTATAAAACTTAGATAAGTTCTTTTAAGTCCCTGTATTTGACTTAAGGAGTTTACGAGTTAAGATTCCACTATATGTGCATTTTGTACAGGTTATTGCAGACTTATGACTTCAAGCTATTATCGTCTTATCGAGCTTACGAGTTATCGAGATTCCATTGTATATTAAAAACCGAGTTCCATTAAAATAAATATTAGATTGAATGAATTGTGAGCGATGAATGAAGATTTTGTGTATTATTGCTTGTACAAACCTGATGCAAGTGCTTCGACTGCATGTAAATATAATAAACAAAAAGAATTAGTAAATAAAAGCTTAATAGCTGCAGCTTTATATACCAAAAGACACAGATAAATAAAAATTTCATTGAAATTGCATACAATATTTATATGTATATTAAAATAGTTAGTTTATGTAGCATTATTTTATTTGGGCCAACAATTAAGGGTACGTTCACACAGAAAGGGGAGCCGAGCCGAGCGAAGCCTTTCCGAGCAAAGTGAAGCTTTCAATTTGCTGTAGCTGTATGAAAGTGTTCATACAGTAAGCTTTTTCATTAGCGTTTTGGAGCTGAAAGCAAAGCAGTTTTTATTTTGAATTTTCATTGAATTTTTAAGCTTCATGACGCTGCTGAAAACAAAATAGCAAAATATTCAAATAAAAACGAATTCTACAACTAATTTTTTGAATAAAATTGAGCAAATATGTTTGCTGGTAAGTTTTGCGGGATCTTTGCAGCCGAGTCCATGAGAAAAGCTGCGCTTCGCTTCGTTCAGTGTGAACACGCCCTAAGAGTTTCCATGATTCAATTATTAAAGGTTTTGTAAGTAGCATTTTTTCTACACTCCCACCCACAGGGATGTTTTGTGGAGGCAGCGGGAAGAATTTAATCACCTTCAAAAAGTAGCGAAGTATTCATAATAGGGCATGGAAGTATTATCTTTAATTATTTAATTGAAACCAGCTTTTTACATGTTGTTGTTGTAGCAGCATACAAATTCCCCAAAGACTTTTTGGGGAGTGTTGCTGGAGTGACAGTCCTTGGCCAGATATAAATCTGGGTCGTTCCGGTTAGCTTATTTACATCGTTGTATTCGATGTAATGGATCTGATTGTTTTAAAAAATAAATATTTGTATGTACCCAGTAGATAATTTCCCAGAAGATAATTTAGGTATGCCTTCTTAAGTAAAGCCATTCTAAGAGGCCTACCCAAGAAGGCCTACCTAAATTATCTTCTGGGTACATTTGTATGTATATACCAAAGTTGCGTACGTCAGACCGCGTATAACTTGAGAATGGATGGTCCACTTCGAACTGTTTTTCTGTTGTTTTTTTGCCTTGTAAATTCTTTGCGGTACCATTTACGGTTGATGGATATGAAGAAATTGTTTGTTTGTGGGAAAATTATGTAATTTTGGTAAAAAAGACGTCAGATAAAAACATCTTGCTCTTACTTTTCTTTCGCGGTTATGGCTCGATTGCTTCTAATGCGGTAACGCGAATTCTTTGATGTTGTAGTTTTTCAGTGCAAGTTTAAGCTTAGATCATGTAAACTGCGCTTGTTTTGACCAGCTTGAGCGGTTAATCTAAATTTAAACCACAGCCGTGTACTGGCAAACTGGCCCTTAGTGTTCGGGAGACGTTATACCGCCGATCAGAAAATCAAACATTGGCTAACACAGTCGCGATTGGCGATTCGTGTTGGTCGAACTCAGGAAGATCGAAAATGGCATGCACCTACTGAACGATTGCAACAGGCACGCGATCTACAAATGACAAGTTCCGTAAGTGAGCATTTACAACATCGCGCCAGTGACTAAACCGAGCCCATGGATACGGTTTGCCAATATCATATTGCGTCAATGCATAAAAACCTTCGTTGACTCATTTACCAGAACCATTGCGCGCTTTACTTTACAGCGACTTGGAAGAATCAATAGGTCTCCACAAATGCCAACAAATACATTTCGGCATTTAAGAGAATTTCGTCACTTTAGCCTATATTGAATTTCTGTAGTCCAAAGATTCTCACCCATTTTTTCTTTTTGCCGCCAGCGAATGAAGTACAAACATTTCCTAAATTTAAAAAGTAAAAATTTCACTAACAAAAGTTTAAAAATGTTCTTAAAACTGTCCAAGAATTTTGGAAAAGAAATATCACTGTTTTTGCTTTTGGGAGAAGGGTGGGAGTGTCATTGATGAAATTAGAGTGAGAGGAAGTTTTTCTTACAAAATCTTTCATTATTGAATCATGAAGACTTTCATATTTCAATAAACATACCAAAGGTTTTTCATTCTACTTACCTGAATTAAAAGTTGTCCGCTTTTAGTATGTGGATTTCTGTAGGCATAAAACACCCACAATACCATAGTTAGCACTAGACATATGGGCACGAGGAAGCCAAGAGCAAGCCCCATGCTTTTCGACTCAGCATGTGCTTCTAAAGGTTCATTCACTACTTTCGCCACATTGGTGTCATTATGCACCGGCGTAATACTAGCACTGTTCGTCTCATTTGCATTCGCACTCTTTTCAGTTATATTCTGGGTGTCATTTTCGTTGTTGGCGCTAGGCACATTTGTGGGAGTAGTATTGGTACTGCCGCTGGTGCTGCTATTGCTGCTTTCTTGACTCGCATTGTTACCTCTCTGTCCAAGGGGAGGGCAAGCAGACGCATCCATTATTTGTGTACGATCACATCCTATTTATTTTATTCGTTATTAAAAGATAGAAAACGATTTATTTTAAGTTATGTATATGCTAAAGTTGCCTCAATTTTCTACCTTTCTGTTGCCATTCTTGTTTTTTGCGATCTGTGCCAGTCGAGCATCTGTTTAAAGTTGGGCACCACGTACACTGCAATAAATATCAATTTGGTTATTAAATATTTACTTTCACATGTTGTCTTTACATATTTTTCGTGCATTTGCGGCAGATGTGAAACACTTGAAACTTACATCAAATGAAGTCTTATGGTTGCTACAAGCCGCGCAATCTTTGTAATCAAGGCAGGTAGGTAAAGCTTGCAAATAAATTATTGTTGCATTCGATATGCCAGTATTAGATAAGTTTATGCGATGATACTCGTAAATGGTTTTCCTGCGCGTATCTGTAAATGGAATGTGAATTTTTATTTATAAAAAAAACTTTATAAACTATGTCGATGACCCCGATCTACTTTAAATAACTACCATGATTAAAGAAATTTCGCTTCAAAAAGGCGTTTGGAATGCCACATAACACAAGTTGTTTTTGTTTTAAAGAACATTTTCGCTTTAACACTAGAAATATCAAAGCGGTCAAATGATCGCAATCACATTTTTGATAGAACATATTACCAGAACTATTGCATTAGCATCGCTAACGTTTCATGACCTTTAATAATCCGACTTTTTTTTACGTTAATGTATGTAACGTTACATTTTATATTATTTTAATTTAACAATGAATTCAACAAAAATATAATTCACACAAAAAAAAACATTAAACCTCTTAGTACGTCATTTGACCGCACTTGATCTTTCTAAGTAGTTCAAAATTTCGGTCTGCCTAGTGTTTTATCACAAAATACTCATTTTATGTTTCAAAATTACATTTAAATTATTAGTGTGTGTTTTACATTAAACGTTGAAGTTAAGTTTGCAGAATTAGGATACATTTTAAAATTCTGGATTAGGACTTTTTATTAGTTGACTTCACTCACGAGTTGTGTTAGGTCGCATTCCAATTTAATTTTCCCTGTAAGCAGCGTTGTGATACAAAAATTCGATGTAATCTAACTTACAGAAAACCGTTTTGTCAATTATGTACGCATCAGATAGGCCGACTTTAACGGGATGCTTATCATCTTGAATGGCATTGATATCGATGGGAACATAGTAGTAGATGAAAACAATATTGCCGTTCTTATGTAACGTGGCACTAAACGTAAATTTTCCAACATCTTGTTTATCTTGCAAAGACACCTTTTCCCAAATTACAGTGAATGCAGTGCCTAAAAGAAAAGGAAATTTAAAAATATTGGCGGCAGATTGTCATATCAAATTTTACCATTATCTTTGATTCGTACGAAGGATTCGTCTGATAAGCTGGTATCGAAGTTAGCCATTAATGGTGCAATGTATTGTGTTGCTGCTAACCAGGAGTGTACGTAATCACCTGTGTAAAGGAAACCACCTGTTGCCACTGTAACATTCCGCACAGGATGGCCATAGAAAGGGAAATCAAAGCTCAACTCCACAGTCTAGAGGACAGAAAAAAATAGTTCGATAAATAGTTTACAAGTAAAATAGCTCGGTCAAGTTAAACATTCAAGGTTATGATAATTCGCATAAAGCAGAAAATTGGTACGAGTGTTGCAAATACCATTATAAAAGAAATCTCTCACGTTTGCAAAAAAATGTATTCAAGGTCAAAGGTCACATAATTTTTATTTTTTTTTTTTTGTTTTTTTACTATATTTGTACAATAAATAAATATTCTACAAATACATTACGATTCGCAGCACTGGCGACGAAGGCCCTCAGCTGTCCTTTGCATCTTATTCGAATGAGATTATATGTGTCTTTGCATATTGCTTTATACTATTATGTGTTATATTCGTCTGAGCAGGTCTACCTCTTTGAGAAAATTATATATTAGTTGTACATTTCTATAGGTTGGGTTTTTGAGTAACTCGATGGGGTCGGCAGAGTTCAGGATGGCTTGTCGGGGTGTAGTGATTGTTGGACATCGTAAAATATGTGTTAGCGAAGATGCTTCCTCGCAGAATGGGCAATTTTCGATGGGGCTTCGTTGTAGTAAATAGGAGTGGGTAACAATTGTATGCCCAAGACGCAGGCGGGTGAAGGGTCTTAACGCACGTAGTGGTATATTTGGATCGTAGACCATCATCTTTCTGCATGGCTTGATTGCTGAGTAGTGATGGACGTACATTCCCCAATCGTCGATTAGTGACTTCAGTCTTAGCCTGGTAGCTTCAGCTCGAATGTCTTGCTTAGATACGGAGTCATACATAAGTGAGGGAGTGATGGCGATGTTCTTGGCTGCGGCATCAGCGTGTTCATTTCCCGAAATTCCAACATGCCCGGGGATCCACATAAGTTTTATTTTGTTAGGGCAGTGTAGTAGTATGTTGCGGATGTTAACTATTGCGTTTTGAGTGTTGGATGGTGATTCGACGGCGTTGATGCACGATTGACTGTCTGTACAAATGACGAATTTGCCTTTATTCATCTTGGCATAGATGACTGCTTCGAGTACAGCGGTGGTTTCCGCCGTGAACACCGAGCAAATAGAATGAAGTATACCGTGTTTGATTATGTTCCCGCAATGTGATACTACTGCAAAGGAGGTGTTGTTTTCAGTCTTGGACCCGTCAGTGTATACGAATTTCCAACCAAGGTTTTGATATTTCTCTTTTTCCGCAGCGAAGAGATTTGTATACTTCTCCTTTGGAGTACTTGCTTTGGGAAGAAGCAGAGCTTTGATGATTGACTTGGCGTTGTTTATCAACCAATGCGGGTGTGCTTCTATAGCTTGAGGCTTTTTATTGATGGGTATCTGAAGATCCTTTGCAAATTCTAAAGATTTTAGCATTGCCGATTTGCACCTGGGCTGCCGTTTTCTTGTTAACATTTTTTGGACATTTTCGGAAAGAATGGAGTTAGAGGTGTACAGCAGTTTTGGTAGGAGTCGGCGTGTAGTGTCGGTTGTTCTGTCTGAAATTGTTGGTAAGCCTGTTTCAGCGTACAAGTTTTTCAATGGGGTTGTAGGGAAGGCTCTGATACTCCTGCGCATTGCGGCGTGGTACGGTGCTGACAGCTTGTTGAGTGTAGCTTTTGGGCTTTTACCGTAAATAGGAAGGGCGTAATCAATTTTGGATAGGATTAGCGCTTTTGTAATGTTTATTAGCGTGGTAGGGTGTACGAAGCTTTTCTTTGATGCAAGGTATTTGATTATGTTTAGACTATTTGAAATGCGCTCTCTTAGTTGAGTACAGTGTGGCTTGAAGTTGTATTTGGAGTCTAAAATCAGTCCAAGAACTTTGAGTTCTTGTACCGAACTTATAGTATCATTGGAAACGCCGGGACAATTCTGTTTCCGGCAAATATGTAAAATTTTGGTTTTTCCAGTAGCAATTGTGGTGCCAGAGACCAGAGACCATGAATTTATTTTCGAAAGTATGCTATCAAAAGTTTCCTCTACAAACGTGATGTCAGAGTTATGCGTGTAAAAAACCACGTCGTCGGCATAGAGTTGACATTCTAAGCTACTTATGTTTTTTGTAAGTTGAGTGATCTCGTCGAATGCTATTATGAATAGGCAAGCAGATAGTGGTGATCCCTGTGGGGTACCATTATCAAGTGGATACGTAGAGGAAAGATACCCGTTTACTTTTACCACACATTTCCTGTTTTTGAGAAAGCTTTTAATAAAATTCTTGATTTTTGGGCCGATTTTCCATTTCTCTAGTTGCCTTAAGATAATGTGGGCGCCGATACGGTCAAACGCTTTTTGAAAATCGGCGGAAAGTACCGAAAAGTGGTTTTTGGACGAGAGGGCTTCTGAAATTAGGTGGTCGAGATGAACTAATGCGTCTATAGTACAGCAACCTTTTCTATAAGCTACTTGATTGGGACTTATACGTTTCGTGATGTTCGCATACCACATAAGTCTAGAGGCTACGATTTTTTCCATTACTTTTCCAAAGCAAGGGATGAGAGAGATGGGTCTATAATTGTTTGCGTCTCCAGCGGGCTTGTTTGGTTTTAATATGGGAACTATGCACGCAGTTTTCCAATGTTGTGGGTAGTGTCCTTGGTCGAGAATAAGGTTGTAAAGGTTAAGCAATCGATGTTTTACTTCGATGGGTAGTTTTTGGATGATGGGGTATGACACCTTGTCAAGCCCTGGTGTTTTACCTTTAACCGATGAGAGTGCGAATTGGAGTTCAGCTAAGTTTATTTTTGCTTCGATTTGCTTGGCGTGTGTCGAGAGCTGTTGATTTGTCAAAGGATCTTCTTGCAGGTATTGCGCTTTGAGTTGGCGGAAAGTATCTGTAAAGTTTGAATCGGAGGAAGCAGACGAAAAGGAAGAAGCGAAATAGTTGGCAATTCCCAGCGGTGTGGTTATCGTTCCGTTAGGAGAGTTAATGCTGGATAGATAAGATTGCTTTTGAAAGCCAGTGAGCTTCTTAATGTCACTCCAAACGTCACTTGGGTTTGATGTGGGACAGATTTTCGATGTGATCTTTTCAAAGCTTTGTTTTTTAGCCGTTTTTACAGCTCTCTTGAAAAGGGCATTAGCTCTTTTATATGCTAAAAGATTGTGTTCAGAGCGGGAGCGTTTGTAATTCTGCCATTCACGCTGTTTCTGCAGACGAAGGATGGATAAATTGGCATTCCACCAGGGGATCCTTTTTTTGTAATAGCACCGTGTGGTTTGCGGGATAGTAAAGTGGGCGGCGGTGCGAACAATTCTTAGAATTTTTGCTGCTTCTTGGTGAATGTTGTTTGTCGAAGGCGTGTTTCGGCAAAGTTGGAGGCACCGGGCAGTAAAATTGTCCCAGTCCGCGGCTTCTGTCTTGAATTCGCTGATGTGCTTATTCTGAATATGATTTCCGTAAGAAATGATACTTGTTAGGATCGGGAAGTGATCACTTCCATGCAAGGAGTCTACTACACGCCAGGTGCATTGCGGTGCTAGGGCAGCAGAACAGAAGGTGAGGTCGATGCAGGTGAAGGTGTTGTGGGTTGAGAAATGCGTGGCGGTGCCGTCATTTAGACAAATTAGATTAGAAGCCAGTAACATGTCTTCAACTATTGTCCCTCTTTGATTGGAGTGGGTATCGCCCCAGATTGTGCTCCGTGCGTTGAAGTCCCCTCCTATGATGCAGTTTGTGTTAACCTGTCTTAGCAAGCGCATTAGTTCAGCGGCAGTGAAAACTTGCGTTGGGGGGATGTAGATACAAATGACAGCGAATTTTTGTGTTGTGCTTATCTCTATTGCTACCGCGGAAAAATCGGAACGTATGGGTATTACTCTGTGTGGTATATTTCTCTTAACTAGAATAGCGTTTCCTTGTTTCTTGTTGGTTATTTGCATGTGATTGTGGAAGTAGCCTGCATAGTTTTTGGGTGTATAGGTAGGCTGATTGTAGGGTATGTGAGTTTCATTTAGGAGTAGAATAGAGGGGGAGAAGGAGTTGATGATGATTTCTAGTTGGTGGTAGTTGTTCGTGTACCCATTCATGTTCCATTGTAGAATTGACGTCATATTACTTGAAAAGTTTTAAATGGTTTATGTTTATGTTGAATAATCTTTCTGTGCTAGTGCTTATGTTTTTGCTGGGAAAGTGTGTTTTTATAAGTTTCGGGGGTAATGAGGACATTTAATTCGGGATACTTGGCATATATTTGGCTGCACGGTGACATTTCGATGTCACTAACTGTAGGGGATGCACAAGGAGTCCGAGGGATTCGATCCGTTGAAGGGACGCTGTTTTTGGATGTGGATGCGTGGTTGTTCTTATGCGGAAGTTTTGGAGAAGAAGTTGTTGGTTTGGAGTTGCTTTTGGCTGTTGATGCTGTTTGGCTAGTTTTGGTAGTTTCCTTAATGGTTGAAGAGTTCAATTTGCTATTCGTTGTATGCGTGTTTGCTGGGTTATTGCTGGTGAGTTGTTGCTTGTTGTTTACGTCGGAAAATTTATTGAATTGTGTGTTTGTTTGCTTTAACGGTGTCATCGTCTCATTGTTCTGCGCGTTGGTCGGTATTGTCGATGTTATGTTTGCGTGGCTGGCAATCATCTGTGCCATGGTTGGTGTTGTTTTTTTATTATAATGCTGAATGGTATATGCCGTTGGGTTGCTGTTGTATAATTTCCATGCTTGCCGAGCTGTGCACCTATGTTGAATTTTGGCTTTGTTAACCGCTTTATGCTTAAGGAACGTAGGACATGCAGAGTCAAACGATGTGTGGGTTTCGTTGGTACAGTTTACACAGTAGCTACGTGTGCATAAGTCATGCGGAGGGGGAAAAGCGCACGTTCTGCATACTTCTGAGTTGCGACACCATTTTTTGGTATGTCCTAGTTTCTGGCAAATATTATATCGCATCGGATTTGGTATATATTCCTGTACTTTGACTCTCTCCCAGCCTATCTTTAGGTAATCAGGTCTACGTATGAGATCAAATGTTACAATTGCAGCACCAGTTGGTATCAGCTTTTCATCGGTTTTCTTCATGATTTTTCTTATGCTGATTACTTTCTCGGAGGCTAATTCTTTTGTTAGTTCTTCTTCAGATATGTCTATGATGTTTCTTGAGAAAATCCTACCTTGAGTGGAATTCAGTCCAACATGGGCTGTGATTTTTACTGGAACACAGTCAACGCGCATGGCTTTCAGAAATGTCTGTGCAGCCTTCAGATTGTTTGCCTTGAGAAGGAGATCGCCGGATTTTAGCGGGGTTACTTCTGTATAGTCACGGGATATGGCTTTGAGACCCTTCTCGATTTGGAAAACGTTGTAGGAAGCAATCGGTCGGTTTTGTTCTGATGAATTAGCTATTGCGGTGATTACCAGAAAACGTGGTATATGGTCATCATTTTGGTGGGTCTCTGGGAGTAGAGGAAAGTCAGTCGATCGCAATCTTTTGTTTTTGAAAATCGGTGTGTCGAGGTAATGATCAGGGTCCAGGTCCATAAACCTGTTGGTGTTGGGGGGGTCGACCCCGTTCATCTTTGAGAGTGTGCGCACTTTCAGTGCTTAACAACTGAACCGGTTTGTAAAATTGTTGTATTAGTTTATTGTTTTTGAACTTTTGTTGGAGTGCGTTTACGCGAAAAGTTGGGAGTGTGCAGAGCTTCGCTTTGCACGAAAAAAAAAGAAAACTAACACAAAGGCTGCGAGCAAAAGTAGTAATTAAGAAATCGCGACGGTCAACGTTGGTGTTTACGCGGCGATTGCCTGAACGATACTGTCACATAAATTTATTTTTTGCCTTTTTGAGCAAAATGGTAAGGTTTATCAAAAAATAGGTGAGACAAAAGTATAGATTATGCAATTATCTATAAAAACTGATATAACATTTTTCTTCCTAAGGATTACCATTTCTGAGATATAGCGATTGAAAAAATTGCGTTCCCCATAATATGCACAATTTCCACTGTACTTGTGGGGTAGTGTTTTAGGGCGTTTCTTAACGTGTTTTCCCCTGTAGGACTTATTGTAGTCCTGTTTAACTAAATAATATGGCATGCAATAAAAATAGTACCATTGAAAGTTATGAAAGCGGTGTGAATTAAAAGTAGAGAAAACTATTCATCTAATTGATAATTATACTAGTTTACAAGAAATCCCACCTGTGGCACGATACAATCACTTCTCATGTAAAATTTTACGCTGAATCTGAATATGAGGTCAAAACATAATAAACTCTAAGAGGTTTTGAGATATAGTCAAATTTCGGTTTTTAGAGACTTAATTGCATTTTTTTATATAGCTGGCAAATTTTAAATTTCTTTCCACAGTACTGAAGCGTATTAAATTTAGTATCTTCTACGCAATGACATTTTCCAACCGGATTATTAGTTCAGAAGCTAATCATTGATTCACCGAAAATTTTGCATAATTAAAAAAAATTAAAAAAAAGTTACTTTCGGTAAAAATATCAATATGAAAGAACCTGTTAACTTTTGGATTCGTGCACGTCGAAGCACGATCTTTCATAAATACGATAAGGCCCTGCTTATCTAAATTGAATAATAAATGTAGAAGTTATGAGCACTTAAGTAGAGATACATACAAAAAGTTTCTACACAAATTTAGGATTTTTTGTGCCAACATGACTGGACTATAAGTGGATACAAAGAGCACACAAATCTCGTAAATAACGTAATTCAAGCCTGCCCTAGCTCTTTGTGCTTTCAAAGATAGGCATTACCTATTAGCTGTAATCTCCACAAATAAAATCAGTCGTTAATACAAATAACTAACAAACACTTGCTTGCTTCGCGGCACCATAAATCAGCTTTTGCGTTATTACTACTTTTATCGTTTATTACAACTAAAAAACTACGGGAATGAAAATTAAAAACCTATACCTACATCTATCACAAACACTTTTCCGTAAAATATTTTGACTACCGAATACCTTTTTGTAGAATTTGCTCTTCTAACTTAGCTTAGAGAGTCTATTTTGTGTACAAGTTTTTGTTCTACCCTCGCAAATACAAGTGCATATATCCTTATTACAATCAGGCGATAAGTAGGTTCTGTTGTTGCTGTTGTTGTAGCGGCTACAATAGCCCTGTCCAGATCGATTAGTCTCTCAATCGTTTTCGTCAAGCTCTACTAGCGGTAATCTCAGGAAGTGTGCAGCCTCGATGAGGTCTGTCCATACGGACAGAGGCGTTAACAGGGTGGGGTTCAGTGGGCATACGAAGAGATGCTGCGAATCATGAAGCGTCTCTCCGCATGCCGGGAATTTGTTTAGCACATCTGCATTTATTCTGCTCAGGTATGAGTTCAGCCTGCTGCAATAGCCAGAGCGAAGTTGGGCTCGTAGGTTCTCGACTCCAGCGGTTCTATTTGTTTGTAAATATTTACATACATGGGCGTAGCCAGGTAGGGGCAGGGGGTGCTCGAGCCCACCCTAACTTTCAAATTTTCCTTATATATATATAAAATAGTACCCTGAAATGCCAGCTTAATAGGGTCGAGCCCCCCCTAAATTTCATTCTGGCTACGCCGATGTCTACATACATATCGCGTAAACACCATGTATTTAACATTAACTGCTCTGTAACGTGAACACACTCAATAAGTCTTATATGACTAATGTGACCAACTATTTCATAGCTCAAAGAAGGACCGGGAAACCAAATGATACAAAAATGATAACAGTGTACCAATTCAACAAATCAATTTTATTAATTAAAAATCTATACTTTATATTATTCTAAGGCAGGCGCTTATTTCCAGCGATCTACTAATCCTGCAAGTTAGGTATAAAATTAAAGTGCTCGATCTGAAACTTTGCACAAACATTTCAGGTTTAAGAATCGTTAGACCACTTTTGCAATATTTGCACGGACAAATTTTTAAAGTTTTACATTAAACAAAGCATTGATACGTTCATTTCAAGAGGCAGGAACTGTGGAGCGCCCTGAATATGGAGTAATAAAGGACTCCCACAGCAACACCTCGAATGAGTATTTTCGGAGCGCTCCGAATAAATAAAGTGTTTTTTTTTTGTTATCTAGTCGTTGATTTAAAAAATAAATTTTCAATCAAGAAGAAACTGATCGTTGTTTCGGATATTTCTGCATTTAATGCTCCAAAAATTACTTTTGTCTAATGCCGAATTTCCACTAGGCATTGAAATGATAAAAAGTTGGAGGCATTTAAAAAGTGCCATGTGGAAATGAATTTAATGACTATTTTTTTAAGATAATGACAAGAATAGTTTTTAATACCCAAGTTTGTCATTAAAATTTCTGCTATTTAAAGCCTAGTGGAAATCCAGCAAAACTTTAGAACTTTTCAGATGTATTTATTAGAAAATATGC